CACCTAAGAAACAAGACCGAAGTCGTTTCCACTAGTGTCCATGTTATTAAGATTTCAGAGAAAATTAAGCAAGTTTTATCAAAGCATATCTTCAAATTTATTAACAACTTGTATTTAGGTTAACTCTTTAAACTACTTTAGTATCTGTATCTGTGGAAATCGTCCGCATTTGCGGCCCCAACCGTTGCCAAAGTCCCCAACGTCATAGACCAGGAGCGCATCCTGGAGGAGAATAGGGAGAAAAACCCAATCCTCTCTTCTTCAGAGCCGGAAGAGGACCAATCTCTTGCATGGGATGTAGTTGGAGAAGCAGTTCGCTGCCAACTACCCTCCACTGACGGAGTTGGTCCTCTTTCCACAGCCCAGAAGAGAAAGTATCGGGGGATGAAACCCAAGCAGGTGAAACCCTCTTCTGAGGCTGACCGAACTCCTCCTGTCGCTGCATTCAGTAAGCGGAGCAGGTCTACGAATGTTACTCCAGAAACCAGTGGAACTTGATGGATGTACCGACATCCAAATCTGCTTGCCAACGTTGCAAGAAAAAAAACCTGTGGTGACAGACACCAATTGCTGTCCCAATGCCTCTTCGAGTCATAGTTTGGCACGGTACTGGTGGGGCATTGCCCAATTCCAATCATCCAGACAGACCTCTGGCGCCACGAAACGCTTGCCTCAAACCAAGGGAAGAAATGATGCAAGGGTCGGTCGAGGCAGAACTGCCCTCGCTATTCCCTCGAAGCAACTACTTCTCGATGTCTGGGTCCCGGGCAACTTATTGCTGATCCGGGCCGTTATTTCCTCCGGCACTGTAGCTAATGCTCGTTCATAAGAGAAATGCCCCTCCCAAGCTAACTGGGATTGGCTCAAAGCTGTGGAGCAAAGAATACCGGTCACAAGGGGAAGAGACGTCACTGTTTATAGTTCCAATTACGAATGAGAGAAAAAATTATGAATGCTAGTTTTTTGGGTTAAGAAACGCTTTCCAGCAGAAATTAGTGACAATTTGTGATAATTATCTGTTAAGAAACAAAGCTATATACATACTGGTAGATCTCTCTCAGCTCTCTCCGCCGGCAAATCTCCGATGACGTCATATTCACGTTACTCTCCGGAATTTCAATCAGCGCAATCTTGTATTCTATCGGTCTTGCGCATGGTTGCCACTCGCCAACATTTTTTTCTACCAAAATCTCTTAAGAAAAATTACCGAAAGCTACCAAATCTTGACTACCAAAATCTTCACTTCTTCACTGAAAAAAGAAAAAATATACTGAATAAAACTGCTATATTTCATAACAAATATGTATATACTTACAGCCTGTTTCTGTGACTTAATAAATTCAATATTTTTATACTTTGTCAATTTTTGATTATTTATCAAGAACTCCCAGTTCTAGCACAGAAGTTTAAATCTATTTTCTTGATAAATTATCAAGATTGAAAATGCTATTGACAATTATAATATTTTTTTTTTATTAGAAAATATTTTTCTTACAATTAATTGTTGCATGTGCCGTTACTCTCATTTTCATTGTTGGTGTTTCCGACAGGGTAGGAGTATGATGTAATGTGGAGCGATTTTCCATCATCCCTTGTCAAATTTGGTTAGGAGACAAACCGGTTTCGACGTTGTGCCAATGTCAGTGTCATTTTTCGTTCGGAATGTGCCGATATTTGCGACTCACGGAATAAAGGTACCGGCACACAAAAAAAAACGTTGCGGGTGCTTTTAACCGTCCGTTTGACTCGTACAAAATTTCAAGTAAATTCCGAAAATTGAAATTTTTTTGCTATTTTTTCGCTTTTCCACAATTTAGTATACGTGTCAAACGGACCTCAGATTTGAATTCAGTGAGTCGAAATATATGTCGGTAGGTGGGTCTAGTAAAAAGCACACCAAATTTTTTTTTTTGTGCCGGAATAATCAAAACGATTTATGGACCTTACCGAAAATTGCCAGATGACCACTATTAAAATGTGAGATGGTAGAATTCAAAATTTATCGCATAAATACGAAAGTTCTTTTAGAAGTGCAGCCCTTGTAGCTGTCGCTGTAATTGAAATATTTCCAGTATTCGAATATGAAATGACTCTAATTTTAT